TTTATTAAATAAATAGGTTTAAATGAATAAATTAAAGGAATCAAATAAAAGGGTTTAATGAGATTAATGTAATTAATAAAGTTATAATTAAAAATATAATATAAATAAAGTCTGAAATGACTTTAGAAGACAACATATTCAGTTTGCTTTATTAATAAACAAGTTCCAATACATTATATTATCTATTATAAAACCCTAATACTAATACTGTTAGAAACTCTATAAACCCCCAATAAATATTGTTATTCATTTAAGTTCTTGTACACGTAACTTACCTGACTTGTATTCAATGACCCAAAGTAATCAAAAGCCTTAATTGCCTACTAACCAAATCAAACACCCTCTTTTGAAAAGGTTACTTATTGTACATTATATAAGATATTAAATTGTGAAGCAACAAAGTTGCAATCTTCTGAACCCAACAATATATAGTAAATTTTTGATATACTATAACCTATACTTTTTGGCCATTAACTCAAGATTTTCTTGACATAAGGAAATTCATATATAAGACTATTAATATTAAATCATGTGTAAACAGGAACCAATAGAGCTCAATGGTTAGCTACCTAGTTAATTTTATGTGATTTGATTGGATACTTTCTATTGACACATGTTAATAAATTAGAAACTTAGATATTGTAATACCAGATATCATAACCAATCACATGAAAAATACATGAAATGCAATATGTTAAATTTGTGACCAGAAATGGCATTTCAAATCCATAAAGAAGGATGAGAAGAGAAATTACACATCCTTAAAGATATTACATAGATCAGTGTAGAGATGGGTCAGTCACGATTATGACTGGTCAATGACCAGTTATGACTGTAACTGATATCAGTCAGTCAAAAATTTGACCAATACTATTTTATCAATATTTAATTGATTCGTTACAATGTTTGCTATTATATTACACAATAATAAATGATTTGAAAAATAATAAGTTCAATTATTTTTTTCTTGGTGTTAATCATATGTAGATATGAGCTCAATGCTATAATTGGTTTGTAATTATAATGAATTATGGCATTATTTGTTGTAATTCATTATAATAACAACTAATTACAGCATTTGCTCACATGCTCTAATATTCATAAATAAAATAATTTATTTTAACTAAGAAAATACCATGATTCTCATGATTTAGAAGTGCAACAAAAGATGTTTAAGGATAATTCAGTAATCTTGAAGATCACATATAAATAGCTTTATTTTACATCATGGTATCGGTATCCTGTTTTATCTTAAGTTTAATTTTATAATTTATCAATAACATAGCCACAGTTATAACCATCATACTGGACTTACCATCGTAACCATCAAACAAACCTGAACACATCATCTTTGTGGCTTATATTTGCTGATTGATATATTCAAAATTACTACCAGCTATATAATATATATTGTAACGAATTAAAATCTTCATTACTATTGTGAAATTGTTTTTTCCAATGAAATATCCACATGACATCAGTTTGTGAAGATCCATCCATTTTGATAGCAATGCCCAATTTTGGAAATTTTATTAATTCTTTCATAAATTATACTGAAGTGGTAATCCTGGTGGCTTAGCAAACAAATCATATGAAAGTTATTTCAGTCGCATATACGTGCCAGTGGAAACGTAAATGTTGCTGTTTAGACCAGGTTTAATAAAATGATTGGTAAAATCATAAGATAGTCGAGAACGTACACATTCTAATAACCACGTATATGTTGTCGTGAGCAAATATATGTTGCCTTTAGAACGTATGCATTCCTGGAAACCAAACATGTATATAAAGGTCTTTGAATTTAATAAAGAAAGGACAGTTCTCGTCCGTCCTCAATAACCAATAAATAAAAAGTATATACTTATCTTCCTTAAAGTATCTTTGAATTTCACTTGTAAAATTAATAAACCCCTCGGAACTCAATTTGACGGACTGAATTGACGTGTACCTTCGACCCGGCTTGTTAATTTTCGTACAATAGCAGAATTAAATATTGTCATTCCTGACCCTTGCAGAAACAATAAGTCGAGAACACCCTTGTTAACCTGACGTACAAACCTCGGAATATTACTATCCATCCTTGTTCATCGTCAGCTTTAATTCCGTCATCATTAAATTAAATATCATTAAGTCAATATCACGATCCTTAAGATAATCACCCTTAACAGCATCACCTATAGTCGCATCACTAGATTGATATCAAAGCCTCGTATTACCGTGTTCTATCACAGATAGTTTTCTAACCGCTATAAAAGATCTGCCTTGTATATTAACATTTCCCGATCTCTACCCGTATACCGTTAGAGTTAAATTGGCCTTATTACCTACTACTTGATCTACACTCTCCCTTTAACGGTTACAATATATATAATTGTTATAATTGTTATCGTTATTATTTTTTTTATGCTTAACGCAATTGAACATGCCACATAAATCACATATCCGGGTTTTTTTGTGATTACGTTGTAGTAGTTCATCATACTGCATACTAATCCTGATTAAATATGCACATAGACTTGATTATACTTGGATGGATAGAAAAGTTTTGTCGCAAACCTAGCCAATAACTGAGTAGTTATTGACCAGTTATATGACCGGTCGAATAACTGCGGTCGGTCGGTTATGAGTCAATGACCGCCAATAACCGACCGATAACCGACCGTGACCGACCGGACCCACCCCTAGATCAGTGTAAATAACATTTAGTAGCCTTAAAGTAATAATAAGTGCAAAGTCGCATTTGTAAGCGACGAATTTGGTATTATAAATAAAGGCCGAAATGGCCCTAAGGGACGATATGTCTCGTTTGCTTGATTAAAAAACAAGTCCCAATACATTGTATCGTCCATAATAAAAACCCTAACACTATACCCGGCATAAATCCTGTAAACCTCAATACCATCGTTGTTCGTTCAAGTTCTTGTTCATGTGACTTACCCTACTTGCATTCGTTGACCCAATGTAACCGAAGGCCTTAATCACCCACCAGCCAAATCTAGCACCCTCTTTCGAAAAGGTGACTTATCGTACGTTACGCGAGATATTGGATTGTGGAGCGACTGAGTCGCAATCTTCCAAACCAAACAATATAAAGGCTGTCAGTTATCAGAAATTGCAGGTTATCGGATATTAATTATGGACTGGGCATGGTGGCTTAATTTTTAACCGATTATAGCAGGTTATCGGGTTTGACAGGATCGGTTTAGGGAGGGTCAACCGTAGTAATATTGGATAGTAGATACAAGAGAAATATAGTTAGTGTGTTAGTAAGCCGTATCGAAAGGTTCAAGACAAGTAGAAAGAAGAAGCCATACCTACGATCTTAACCCACTCGCCAGATAAAACCGCCTCTTATCACTAAGCCCATTCGTAGGTTACACGACGTATCCGACTGTGGAGAGACTGACTCGCTTTTTAGGGTTGTCATTATGCTGAGTTGGTTTTTAAGGTTAGAATTGATGAGTAAAGTATATAAGTGGATTTTAGCAGTGCTCATATTTTCAAATCACAACCCCAAATTTCAGCATCAGCCGCGACATTTATTAATTTGTATAAATATTTGGCTCCGGACAAACAATGCTATTCATTCCCTAGTGTATCATGGTTTTTATGTTTGTAAATAAAAAGCCTTTTCTTTACATGCTAATATTTTGATTACTTGAGAGAATAATATACATATGTATTTTTTAATATATGTTCATTCAAAAATTACCAATAAACTTTCATGGCTTATTAAACCGTGTAACCAATGATGATAAAAAAGGATAGATAACATTGTACTATCATTAACAAATCAGCATTCTTTATTGTTACTTGGCAAAGCATATAATGCATCATTCTTCAAATTTAATCATTAACATTTTTGCATATATCATTTTTTGTAAACAAGTTGCAAAACAGAAATCATACAATTGATTGGTATATCAATAGTATTGCTTGAAGTGAAGCAGCGTTCTGAAATTCAACTGATTCGTTTTCTTAGTTTATAAGATATCTAATTATGAGCAATTTGTGGAATTCTTTACAACTATTCTCTTAAATTTTGAACATAAAGGTGAAAAATTGACCGAATTATTGTTTGGCCGATTCGAGAAGCTTGTGTTACGGCAGTGATAAACTTTTGGCTTGAGTAATTAGTACATAAAGCGATATATATTTTTTAATTCATAGTGATAATATCTTCAGAACTCTCAACACATTTAAATTAAGGTTTTCGTTTAAATACATGTCCAGTACGATAGTAAAGATTGTTCTTTAAAACATTAAAAAGGATGTGAATATAAGGTTAGCTTTCATAGTAAATATATTGCACAAGTAGGCACTAATAAAAAAAAGTTAGATACGAATTAAAGAAGATTTATTAATATTTGCCGAAGCTATGTTAACAAATAAAAATAAAAATTTACATATTATATTATTTATTTTGTGCATCAAACTAATATCTACGTCAAATTAAAATATAAATATAATCTCGCTAATATCTACCCTCATCTTAACATTAGTTTTAACCCTAGTCTTAATGAAATCCTGTATTTAAATTTTGACCTGACGCAAGATTTATTTTGACACACAACATACACATTATTACATAATAACTCGTTACCGAAATCACGAACTTATCGAATCGCCAAATAATCATTTTGTCAATTTTTCACCTGATATTCCAAAATTTATGAGAACGTACCTTAAGTGCAAACTTTGTAAAATGATTACAAATTTTACCACCACCACCCATTAATACATTATAATCAAAAAGAATGAATAATTTCTTTAATATTTATGCATTTATATATTTAGATATTTATATATTATATTATATGAATATAATAGAAAATATTAACGAATATAAAAACGTTTGATTGTTCCAAACTATGTTAATATCTGCCGGTTTATTCGAACTTTGGCATCACGTGTAGAATAGGATTGATATAAAATATAGCGATAAATTTGTGAGATTAGAAGATGAATGCATTTGAAAATTAAAACATGCCTAACCGCTTTTACGTGACTTGATGTGGATTTGATTTGGCAAAATATTTGTAATGTGCGCGTTGCCCACCACGATCAAACCCACCACTACCAGCATAATGACTTGAAGCTCCTCCATCAGAAAAAGTTGCAAAGTTTCCAGTTCTAGAAATATAGGTTTCATCTCCGATTTGTGTTAATGTTGTTGTTCTTGGAGATGTGGTGGTTGTTCTCGAAGATGTGGCGGTGGTTCTCGAAGATGTGGTGGTTGTTCTTGGAGATGTAGTGGTGGTTCTTGGAGATGTGGTGATGGTTCTTGGAGATGTAGTAGGGGGATTGTGGTTAAAACCTGTTGCACTTTCGATGTTCCCTGTGTTGGAGTTCTCTGAAGTAGGGTGACTGTCACGTTTTATTTCTTCTGTTTGTTTAATTATTTTGGCATTCTTTTTTTTTGCATGAGCAAAACAATTAAGTTTACACGATTTAGCTCCCATTTTATCTCGAAAGTATTTTTTGTATTTCGATTAAATTATAAGATTTTAATGGATTAGATTATAAAATGATTAGTGTATGGGATTATGAAGAAATTAGTACTGTATATAGGGTTATGAAGAAATCAGTATATAATTTGTCTTTCCCTTTTTATATTAACCTAATAGTAGCAGACTATTGTTGATATATAAATGCACAAATAAAGAAACTTGACTATATGGTTAGAGTGAATTCAGAAACAATGCTTAATATATAGCAAAAAAAGGTTACCATATTTCTCCAAAAATAATCGCCCCTTTTTCTGTTGAGGGTGTTAGATTACCAGGAACGGAGGTAAGTACCAGGAACAAATGGCTCTGTACGCAAAATCATGGAATTGATTCGTCCGCGTGACTTATCATTCAATATTTAAAAAAAAAACATAAATGAGCGCTATAACAAACGATAGTAAAAATAAGTTTTTTAGGCACAAAAAATAGTGCCCCAATATAAATTTAAAGGCCTCAATGCTAAATATTTGGTAATTTTCATTTTTTCATCGAATTTTTTATCGGGCTGATAAAATGATAATCACTGATCGTCAAAGACTTTATCGAAAATGTTTTTTGCAGGGCCCAGAATTTTGAGTCGGATTCATTGGAACTGAGTGACGCTAGCTAACCAACTATATAGCAGTCAGGCATTGACTTCATCAATAGGTTTTTAGGCTCGGTCACCGAAATTCAAACCAATATTCAGATTGCAAGTGCTATCGACTTCTTTTATAAAGAGCATTTTTTTATACCAGGAATGGATTGCAATGAAGAATATGGTTTCCCGTGACTGAAATGGAGCCTACATAAATTTTTCCCGTTCTGGTTTTTCACACATAACAACGTACGTAATTTCGAACCCCGGCATAAATTAAGCTTAATTCAGATCATGATTCGAATTAACGCCCGGTCTGCTATTACGCGCAAATATTATATATAATTTTTATTTTTTTAATTTACTTTGTTTACTAGTAGAACTTCCTTTGAGCTTATAGTTATAGTAGAGATGACACAAATTTTTTTGCCTAACAGTAGTAGAAACGTTAAGTTTGGATTGAATCATAAGTCATATTTAGATCTTTATATGCTATTGTCTTTTGTTAAAATTTTTATTATTTTTCTATATTAAAAGAGGGTGCTTATCTTCCGTGTATGTAAAATATGAGCTTCCTTTAAATGTAGCTTATAACCCTAAATAAATGGATTTATTTATATTTAAAACATGATTTAAGTAGATTGAAAAATAGGTACAGGCTAAGCAACCTAGAAATATTAGGGATGTTTATTGTCTTAAACTCATGGTAGTACACAACACTGTTAAATAACCAATGAATACCTTGAAATAGCACCATAAAGCAGCTTAAAATTTAATATTTAAGGCAGCAAATGACTATTGCAAATTTAGAAGTGTCATTCACACAAATAAGTATTTCCTTGCCTACAGTACGAATTTGGCATGTCATTTATTTTCATAAAAATACAGATCTAAATGGTAAATGAAAAGTATTTAGAATTAGCACATTAGAATTGATAATCAAGTTTTTCCGTGACATGATTAAATTTATTTACACATTTCTTTCCATATTTAATGTTTTATCATTTATTTTGTTGATTTATTTTGTTGATGTTTTTTATAAATAGAAAGGTTGGTGGAATTCAATACAAAATTCATCACTATATAGTTTGTGATACATTGGCCTTTCCGGTTTTTTTTATCTACGTGTATTGTATCAATTTAATTTTGATTGCAGGATCGACAAAACAATTTCCTAGTTAATTAATTAATTATTATTAAATATTGTGAACTACACCGGAAGGAGGAATCGAAGTGGCGCAGAACGGCTATGTCGATCACCTACCTAAAGTGGGTTTACCGGCAGTATGAGTCAGGCTGAAGGGATATCCTTATGTCCAGAAAATTCCGAGCTGCCGGCCAAATAAATATGGGTCGTAGTATCTCAAAAATTCACTATATATCTAACATTAACAATTGTGTCCTGTAAGTAAAATTTCATTCTGAAAACTTTTACTTAGAGGTCGGAAGTTAGTTATCATAGTAAATTTTTGTGTTATTTACGTTTTTTTACAATTTCTTATGTTTTTCGCGTTTGTTTTGTTACACAAGATCCTGTGATTTTATTGGATCCGGATGGGGTCGGAAGTGATCTTCAGCCCGGGATTTTCTGGACATAAGGGTACCCAGGCTGAAGATCGCTGAAGATCAGGGCTGAAGATCACTTCCGACCCTATCCGGATCCAATAAAATCACAGGATCTTGTGGAACAAAACAAACGCGAAAAACGTAAGAAATTATAAAAAACGTAAATAACACAAAAATTCACTATGATAACTAACCTCTGACCTCTAAGTAAAAGTTTTTAGAATGAAATTTTACTTATAGAATACAATTAATAATGTTAGATATATAGTGAATTTTTGAGATACTAAGACCCATGTTCTTTTGGCCTGCAGCTCAGGATTTTCTGGACATAAGGATATCCTAAAATCACAGGATCTTGTGTAACAAAACAAATGCGAAAAACATAAGAAATTGTAAAAAAACGCAAATAACAAAAATTTACTATGATAATTAACTTCCAACCTCTAAGTAAAAGTTTTCAGAATTAAATTTTACTTATAAAACATAATTGTTAATGTTGGATATATAGTAAATTTTTGATATACTATGACCCATATCTTTTTGGCCGTCAGCTCAGAATATTCTTGACATTGATATGAGCGAAACGGCGAGTCAGTCACTTGTCAAACAAATACGTTGTGTAACCTACAAACAGCTTAGTCAAAAGAGATGTGTTATATTTGGCAAATGTATAGTTATAATTGTAGGTATGGTTTTTATTATATAATAAAACAGTGAATTATTATGGAGTAAAATTTATAGAAAGTATTCACTAACTGTTCTTGGAGAGCTCGAAGCTTTTATTATATACTTTCATATACATAGAACATGTTATACCCTTTATTCATGATATTACACTTATACTACTTATAATGTTTATGCTGATTATACTAATCATAATCTTTATAATGATTTTTAATTATACTGTACTCTTGGTCCCGCTAATCCTCCTTATCCCACTGATATCAATTATCAATCTGATACTAAGTATACAGTGAACTAGGAGCCTGCAAATTGCCTATTTTTGAGGCCTGGTCCAGCCTGCAATTAGGATTAAAATTTTTTTTTAGGTCTGGCCCAGCCCGCATTTAGGGTTTTTATTTTTTTGCTAGCCCAGCCCAGCCCGTATATGTCAAATTTTTTCTTCAGCCTGGCCCAGCCTGCAAAAATTTCTTATATAATTTTTAAATTTTTAGGTCCACACTGGCCTGCAATTATAAAATTTGGCAATTTTTTTGGCTTGGCCTGGCCTGCAATTATAAAATTTTGCTTCAGGTCTGGTCTGGCCTGCAAAAATTTGTGGATTGGGTTGCAGAACCCAACGCAAACCTTTACAGCGAACACAGTGTATACTGCTGATAAATCCATTTGAGATAGATGATTGACATAGTCATTTATTTATTACTGCACTACATCGAATATTTGCTTTAATAAGCTTCTGACACCAACACTCTACTGCTCACACATAAGGAAATTCTGGAAGTATACACTGTATTCACTGTATACTACATATCTCATGCATTGAGTTAATAATGATATAGATGAGATACAGTATATAATTATAATAATTAGTATAAATAATATAATTAGTATCATTGATATTGTAAGATCTAAAAACGTGACTAGTACATGTGATGAAGATCCTAAATGTCAGAAAAGTTAGGTATGTCAGATATATCAAATATGTCATATATATCTGATATATCTGCTATATCTCATAAGTGTGATATATTAAATAAATATAATATATACGATAAATTAGACATATATGATATATTAGATATGTTTGATAAATTAGACAAATCTCATAATGTAAATAGAAGAAAACATTTATTATAAATAAAGGGCAATCCTCCCAGGCCAAGAAGGTCAGTAATTACAATTGCGAAATATAAACTAATTACCTGACCTATAGTATAAGTGAAAGTATTGCCTTATAAACCTAGTTACTATTGTAAATCCCATTATTAACAATATCTGTTTACCCCAACAATAAACTAAAACTGTAATTGATTGCTCACCTAGTCACATGCCTCATAAACTGTAATGAATGACAAAGAAGAGTTTCAACCCTGATTCGATATAGAAAAATCCTGTTTGAGACAATAAAAGAATATAAGAAATTAGTAAAAAAGTAGATTGAAGGAAAGACTCAAAAGAAGAGACTAGTACTTATCTACAGATGAAACTCTACTTACCAAATCTAACATGTCTGTTTCGACTCAGCCATCATAGGTTATATGAGAGTTGGAATAGTTTAGTGACAAACTTGCAAATTTGGCACTCAACAATATAAACATTATAATACAAAATATCATGATCAATCAAATGAAAAAAATATGAAATACAATAAGTTATATTTATGATTGGAAAAGATATTTTGGATCTGAAAAAATAAATAAGGAATAAGAAGAGAATGTGAAGACAAATTATATATCCTTAAAGATATCATATAAATTATTATAAATAGGTTTAATTAGTTTTAATAAATAATAAGTATAAAGTTGTATTTGTGAGCAATGAATTTAATATTATAAATAAAGACTAAAATGGTTCTTAGGAGCAGTATGCTTTGTTTGTTTTATAAAAATAACAAGTTTTAATATATTATATCATTTATCATAAAATACTAATATTAAACCTAGTACAAATTCTATAAAATCCATAAACTTAATATTTATTTGAGTTCTATATCATGTAACTTACTTACTTTTATTTGTTGACTCAAAGTAACCAAAAGTCTTAATCATCTACTAGCTAAATCTAATACCCATTTTTAAAAAAGTTACTTGTTATATATTATATAATAATTTGTATTCTAAAGTAATTA